AGAGAAAGCCCGAACTGACCTACTCTGGTGATAGGATGGCCAAACACCCTAATTGTCGTGCTAGAAACCTCATCCAATGACTGAGGGAACCAGATGCAGAGATCCATGGCCAGCCCCCAATTGGCGAGAAAGAGGAGGGTTTGTATGAGTGGGAATTGTTGAGACCAAGATTGGAAAAAGCACAGGGACAAATAGCCAAATGAATGGAAACACATGAACTATGAACCAATAGCTGAGGAGCCCCCAACTGGATCAGGCCCTCTGGATAAGAGAGACAGTTGATTAGCTTGATCTGTTTTGGAGGCATCCAGGCAATGGGACCGGGACCTGTCCTCAGTGCATGAGCTGGCTGTTTGAAACCTGGGGCTTATGCAGGGACACTTGGCTCAGCCTGGGAGGAGGGGAATGCACCTGCCTGGACTGAGTCTACCAAGTGGAACTCAATCCCCAGGAGAGTCTTTGCCCTGGAGGAGATGGGAACGAAGGGTGGGCTGGAGGGAAGGTGGGGGGGGAGGGGGAGAACAAGGCTGATATGTAAAATTAAATTAAATTATAAAATAAAAAAAAGATCTGTAGAGAGGATGATAGTAGGTGCTATGAAGGGATAACTAGGTAAAATGGAAAAAACTTTAACTGGGAGGTGGTGATGGATAATACAGTAGGAGAGGAAAGAAGAAAGGATAAATGATTAAGGATGCTTGAAAAAGCAACAGGAATGCATTTTTGTTTACTTAAAATACGTACAAGATACAAACAGATACACAATTTATTTATTTATTTATTTTTCATTTTTCTTTATTAAGAATTTTTCTACTCACTCTACATACTACCCACAGATCCCACTTCCTCCTTCCTCCCACCCCCAGCCCTCTCTCCCAAGCCACCCCACATCCCCACATCCCCCAAAACAAGTTCTTTCATGGGGAGTCAGCAGAGCCTGGCACACTGAGCCTAGGCAGGTCCAAGCCCCTTCCCACTGCACCAAGGCTGTGCAAGGCATCACACCACAGGCACCGGATTCCCAAAAGCCTGCCCATGCACCAGGGACAGATCCGGATCCCCCTGCCTGGGTGTCCTCCAAACAGTTCAAGCCAAACAAGCGTCTTCCATATCCAGAGGGCCTAGTCCAGTCTTCATTGGGGCTCCACAGCCACTAGTCAGAGACACAATTTAAATGAAGTTACATCACTTGAGGTGATAATGCTCACTCCAAGGCACAGCTATATATTACCTAATAGAAACCTCAGTGCCAGGCATTAGAAACCTCCCTTCAGATTGTTGGAAGGGCCAATGAAATCCAAGAGACAAGCCCCAAACAACATAAGCCATTGCCATTGCTCTTAGTCGTCTCCTAGAACTTGAAGATAAAACCATGTTGCTGAAGACACCACAAACTTTGGATAAAAAATTTGAAAGTTTATGTGTTGGAACTGACTTGGGAGCCTCCTCTCCAATTACTTTTTCACAGTATCCAAAGGTGTTATGCACACTGCCTATGGAGAAAAGCAATCAATAGTTCTACTGAGCTGTAAAGTCTATGGACCACAACAATGACTATGTAGTTCTTTTTTTTTTTTTTTTTTTTTTTTTTTTTTTTTT